TTAATTCTGTACCACTGAGTGACCTGATTATTATATCGGCTGCAAACAATCTAAATCATATTAAAGATCATGTTTGTTATACAATCTATAACACAAGAGCTACTTAAAACATTCTTTCAAAGAGGATTAATATAAAAATTTATACTTATATATATAATTTTTAAAGCTCGGACATGAAACAAACTGTCAATGTACTGTTTGTCTTTTTGTTTGTGTGAAAATAAACATCAAACGAAGTTTCTCAGTTTTAGTCAATTTAAATGCAAAGGAAAGTAGCAGACGATAACTCGGGGAAGGTAAAAATTTGCTCTTGCAAATATTTAAAAAAAAAAGAAAGAAATTTTAAAAAAGTTAAAAATTTGAATAATATCATCTATAATTAAAAAAATAGCTTTTCATGTAATGTTAATAAATATTTATTACGCATCACCGAGGGAAAAAATTTCATATAAGTAACTCTCCGTAAAAATTTATTTGAAATTTAAGGTTAAAAATAGCTGTGGCAATTCACTGTAACAAAAATCCATAAACCGCATTTGGCATTATTGTTCAAAAAAAGATGCCAAATTTCAATACGTGAAAGTATGTAAATTCCTGTATATCTTAGAGAATTTTGAATAAAAAACACTAATTTTTTGCAGGTATGCTTAGAACTACATCTACTTTAAGATGATGGTAAAAATTTTATAGGTTATAATTAAAAATTTTTTTTGAAAAATTTATAAAAATTATTTAAAAATAGAAATTAAAAAGATAAAACACAAAAAAAATGCTGAATTTTAACTGGAATGAACCTAAATTTCGAAATGTGAAAGGAAGAATCAAAAAAGTTTAATAAAGAAAGCTATTAATAAATATATGCCAAATTCAATTAACATTGAGGAGCTAAAATTTTGAGAGCTAATTTTTTAAAAACTACTCTTACGATTTTCACAAAACTTGGCAGTCTGGCATTTTTTGAGTCGTAGAATCAAAATATTTAAAAAAATTGGTATGTTATTTCAGAAAAAGTCCGATTTTGTATCAAAATACCTATGTTAAATACCTAAGTACCATAAATAGTAAATATGGTAAATACCTAAGTATACTACCAAAATACCTAAGTGCTATATATAAATCTAATATACATCCTAAGTCGCGCTTTTGAGACATGAAAAACGCAATTTGAATTTTGTCAATCAGCCCAGTAGAACAGGAGATATAGAACGTCCCATTTTTTTATTTTTTTTTTTTCCGCAGTGTACTACGCATTTTGAACAGCACAAAGAGCTTCTCACTGGTGTTAAAATGAGAAATTGAGAGGACTTAAAGATTATGGGAATTCTCGAAGAAGAAAAAAATATTATGATGTAAGATCAAGAAGATATGAAAGAGGAAGCAAGGAAAAACATTCCAAAAATTCAGGAAGAGAATAGAAAAACCTACAATAAGAAGAGAAAAGAGGCACAGGTATACACTTGGTCCGTACCGAGTAACAGCGAAAAAGGGCAAAGATCGGTACCAGGTGGAAAAAGTAGGACACCATGAAAGTCCTGGCTGTACCACTATGGCAGCTGATCACATAAAGTCATGGACTGTTCCTGTTTAGGACTGTATGCGGTTCTTCCACACTTCTATCTTTTTGTTTTTTTAAATTTATTTTCAAGTGCTGTCTTGATGTAGCAGTGTTGCTGATCCGTGTTTTCGAGTGTGAAAACAGAGTCAGAATCGCCAAGATCTGGTATCCGTTAGTTCAACACAGTCTAAGAGACCTTTTTTGTCTAAGAGAACACTATGGGAAAAATAAAATAAAAGAATAAAATTCAAAATAGAATAAAAGAATAAAATAATATTTTATTATATTAAGAATAAAATTCAAATAGAATAAAAGAATAAAATAATATTTTATTCTTTTATTCTATTTTGATTTTGATTTTAATTTTACATTGCTCGGAGTTGCAATAGCTTTTGACACCTTAATGTGTATTTCAGCGGACACGTCGGGAAAAAGGAACAGAGCAGTGAAGCTCCAAAAAAAAAAAAAAAAAGATTTATTCCAAAAAAGATATATTCGGGAATACTAATGTTCTTTTATAAAAAATTTTTCGCATTAAACAAGAGCTTCAATGGTCTGTTTCGGCAAAACGCGTAATGGTATTTAACCTAGTTCGACAATCAGTTTTTTTCCCTTGAAAAGCCAATTGAGAGTACGAGTGGGTTAATTTACCATTTTCCGCTATTTAATTATTGTATATTAGTATTTTGTATTGTTGCATTTTGTGTCTTCATTTTAATTTTTAAATTTTTGCTTTTTTTATGTATTGAAATTTTTTTAATCTATGTTTTTTGTACTTTCCTTAATTTTTTTTTTTTTCCGTCGATCTATTTTTCATGTGAGTTAACTTTTCACATATCACAACGGTCAGATTAATTTTTTCGTGCATTAGCAAGTCTTCCAGCATTAATTTTGGCTGTTTTTTTCGCGTGTTTACAGTTTTTTTTTCCAGTTTTTCCAGACAAATTTCTTTTTATTTATGTAATACTGCGGTATAATATTTCGTGGAGCTACAGCTCCTGCTAACTTTTTAGCAAGATCGCTGCAATGTTTCTTCTACCTACTATTATTTCATATCTTTTTGCAGCATTATGCGCAAAAGTTTTTGAGACCAAATAGGTCTTACGTCTAATTACCAGTTAGCTTTACATTTTCTTTGTTAATTATATATATATATATATCAAGATATTCATTCAAGTGTAGTAAAAAAATAAAATTCTTTTCATCTGCAGTTCTCATTATCAAATAAGCATGAAATGAATATGACTAATTTTATTTTTAGATGATATCTATATTTTCTGTTTTTGCGAGAATGTGGTATTGATAAGAGCAAAATAAAATGGCACTTCATTTCAATATTAATTTTTCATAGTAATAAGAATTGGTACATATATTGTGTATTAGATAAATAATCAATAGTCATTGTGGCTTTTGTCTGTGTTCCAATAAGTACATCATATAAAAAAATTAGCTTTCATGTAAATAAAATTATGTGAATATTTGTTAAATTTTATTGAGATTAATAGTTACGCATTAATTATAATTAATAATAAGCATAAAAGCGATGTCATGTTCATACTTAAAATATCTGAAATTGTTATGAAAAATATTCTAATAGACAAGTGTTAATTTTACAATATAGTGTGTGATTTATGCTTTTAGTTATTTATTTTTTAGATTGTGCCACTACAACTAGTAGCTGTTTTATTCATTTATTTTTCCTGCCATTTTATCACACTTTCAAAGATGGAAAGCTATCGACACACAAAAAAATGGGGAAGTTCTGTATCTCCCATTGTACTGAGCCGAATGATGAAATTCAAATTGTGTTTTTCATGTCTCGAAAGCACGACTTAGGATATATATAAGATTTATATATACCATTATTCTAACATAGGTATTTTGATACAAAATTGGACAAAATTGGAGGCAGAGACTTAGTTTTGAAATTCTCAGTAGCACACAATAAGGTTTTAAGATGATCTTTCATGGGCTTGTGATCAGAAATTATATTCTCATCTGCTGTAATGCAAGTTCTGTTTGGTATCTGTTTAAAAAAAAAAAAAAAAAAAAAAAATCATTATGCTTAAAAACCTGTTGAAGCAGTTAACACTTGGAAATCATGAGCTTCTGGAACTTGGCAACAAAAGCCTCAGCTGCCTTATTGTGCAAACTTGCAGCCTCTTCATGTTTCACAACATTATGGGCATTGTTTTTCTTGTTAAAGTTATCAAACCATTCCCTGTTTGCCTTGAAGCCTTCTTCCTTTTTCATATCTGGCATTTACTTACACAGTTGGATGTAAGGTTTTCGCCTTTTCATAAATGTTCTTGGCCGTAGTATCACATCCTTATCCAGATAAGAAGCAACTTTTCCACATCTTCAACAATATGCCAATTGTTGCTTTGAAACTCTTACTTGCTTGAAACTTGATTCTCTCCTGACTTATTTTGCTGTATCTAACTCCTTTAATATTGCACACATCATTAAAGTAGCTCTGCTAAGTACTCTGATAGCATACCACATAAACTCTACCAACATATCTCATTTATGCTTCTTACTGAGTTTCATCTTAACTTCCAGTGAATCATTTCTTGTAGCTTTCAATTTTAACTATTTTTCTTTTTAATGGGTATAATTGCCATATCGAGAATTCCTATTAAACCGTCAGTTCTTTTCATTCTTAGAAACCTCTTTGTCACTTTCTTATCGCAGAGTTTGCTAGCCATTAGTTGATTACTGATTGGAGCTTTGTCATCACAATGGAAAACTTCTCATGTATCATCTTCATTTATTATAGTTTCTCCACAAATAAAAGTAATTGGAAAATTATGCCTTCTGCAGCATTTAAAATCTAAATCAAAATAAGGTTGTTGTTTCGCATAATTTTGAAATTCCACTTTTGTAAAGCCCAAATTGCACCAATACCTTTTTTTTCTTCATTTCAGAATTTTGAATTTCTGAATGTGTTTTATTCATTGTATGAGATATTAAATCAAATTGATATGTTATTTCATGAAATAATTTTATCTATGTAAATAGAATTTTGGACACCATTACTCATGATGGGGCTGCTACTTATTAAAAATATATTAAACATTTTTATAATTTGATTCGTTTTTATGTGAAGGTAAATATATAATAAATGACAGTTGTGGTCTTTGTATTGAATAAATTAATATTCTTCTGAGAATGATTCCTTTGTTAATGTTTTTCAAGTTATAAAAATATCTTAGCAGGTTTATTAATACTTTTTTATTAGACAGGCTTTAATTCCTAAGGCAAAACAAATCGTAATGTAACCTGTTTCAAATAAGCAAGCCTTTAACGAAATATGTTTCCTAATCAGTGTATATCTTTTTCAAACTTATTGCTGTTTATTTGCTAATGAAATGCATCTGTAATGATTTTTCCCCCTTTTTTAAGAAAATGATTTAGTAAGTATCTCATCTCTCCTTTTTTTTAGGTAGAAGAGTTTCACAGATTTGACTGAAAGGAAATTGCATGTGAAGATTAACAAACGTTTTTTTTTAAAAATGTCTTTTCCGATATTGGAGAATAAAATAAAGGTACTTCCACATTCATGTTTCATCTGTAGCAAAGCATTTGTCCGGAAAAATACACTTTTAAAGCATTATCATGAGCATCCGAGAGAACTTGGGTTGAATTTGGAACGGTTAGAGGAAGAAAGAGCAAAATATTTAGCAAAAAAGAATTTAAATAATCCAAATCCTTCTAATATTCTTGGGAATGGCTTGGAAAATAATTATAATGGAATGACTGAAGAATGCATCCAAAATGCTCAAAATAGTGACCAAAATGGAGATCAAAATGTAATTCAAAACCTTGATTCTAATGATATTATTGTTACTAGTTTATATTCAAGTAATATAATGGTTCAAAACTTGGATCCTATTAATATAGTTCAACATATTGATCCAGCAAATATAAATCCCACTCTTGAATCTGAAAGTTCTTTTGCATTAGAAATTCTTCCAGATAAAGAAACTCATGAATGCAGTGAGTGTGGTGCCAGTTTTTCTGCTGCTAGTAGTTTGAAAAGGCATTCTTTGATCCACAATAAAAATCAAACTTTTCCATGTGATATTTGCAGTGAGAGTTTCCCATCAAAAAATGAACTGAAAAGTCATTATGTTATTCACAATACTGTTCGTCCTTATTTGTGTTTAATTTGTGGTAGAAGTTTTTCTCGTAAATTTGATTTGTCAAAGCACAGGTTGACACACGCTTTGAAAGTTTGTAGGATTTGTAATGAAAGTTTTGAGTCAAAGGCATTACTGAAACAGCATTACCGTGTTCATAAAGATCAAAAAGTAGAAATATGTGACATATGTAATGAACAATTTTCTAAAAAGAGTGAATTGCAAAAGCATCGATTAAAACATACTGGAAATGAACCATATGTTTGTGAAGTTTGTAATGCTGGTTTTTTCAAAAGAAGTGCTCTTAAAATGCATTATTTAAGTCACCCTAACGAGAGACCCTTTGTTTGTGACATTTGTAATGAGAGTTTTGCCGAGTATTCAGATCTTGAAGTTCATAAAAATGAGCATGCTACTGCTCCTTTGTTTGCTTGCAAAGTGTGTGATGAAGCATTTACAGTTAAATCTGATTTGCAAAAACACAAACAAACACACAGCAAAAAACAAATTTTTTCGTGCAAAGATTGTAATAAAAAATTTAAGAGCAAAACTGAGCTCCAAGAACATAAGCATACACATACCAAGAAGAAAATATATGTTTGTAATGCATGTAATATTGCATTTCAAAAGAAGGACAAATTTGAAGAGCATAAAAGGAATCATAATAAGAGAAAGTCTGTGGTGTGTGAAATATGTGATGAAAATCTGAAGCAAGATGAATATGAAGATCATATGCTAATGCACAACGAAGGTAAAACTCACACATGTAGAGTTTGTAGTGAAAGTTTCATGTTTAAAGATGATTTACTAGCTCATTCTCGTACTGCACATGTCAAAGATAAACCATTTGCTTGCAATCTCTGCAATGAAAGCTTTGAATTCAAGAGTGATCTTCGTGAACATAAGCAAGTTCATGCCCAGAAGAAAAACTACAGCTGTAAAGTATGTCACCTATCATTTAATTTGAAATCTGAACTTGTTGAACATAATAAAACTCCGTGTAAGAAAAAACCTCACTGTTGTAAAACATGTGGTGAAAGGTTTGCTCTTAAAGCTGAACTTCAGCAGCATGAAAACAGTCATAAAGAAGATAATGAATATGACCATTATGCATGCAAATCCTGCTTTATGTATTTTGATTCAAAGTTTGAGTTGTCTGAACATACACCATCTTGTCCCCAAAAGAAGCCTCACTTATGCAAAAACTGCAATCAGAGATTCAAAACAAAAGAAGAACTCCTAGATCATAAGAAGATTCACAGCAGACGACAGCCATTTATCTGCAAAGTTTGTAATGAAGGGTTCAAGGTTAAAGAAGATTTGGAAAGTCACAAAAAAATCCACAACACAAATCCTACATATCCTTGTAATATATGTGATAAAATTTTCATGCAGAAAGAAAGTTTGAAAGAACATAAATTAAGCCATGAAGGTGAAATTGCATATATATGTAGTGTATGTGAAGCTACATTTGAGAACAAGGCTGATTTTAAAGCCCATCGTGAAACACATGATGTCATTATTCATCAGTGTAAAGTATGTAATGAAACATTCAGCATGAGAAAAGATTTAAAACGACATTATTTAAAGCATATCTTAGAAAGACCAAATTTATGTCGTATTTGCAATGCAAATTTTGAACAATGGGGTGCCCTAAGAACCCATTACCTTACTCATACAAGAAATTGATTTTTTAAAGTGAATTTTATCTATGCAAATACCATATTGCCTCCTTTTGAGTTCTGTAAGGCATTAATTAATAACAAAATTTATTGCATTAGTTTATAAGTATTTTATATGTGTATATTTTAGAATGACATTTAGAAATCAAACATCGAATTGTTTACGGTTTGAAAACTGGAGAAACAATTTGGTTTATTCTGTCAGTTATCACACAAAAAATCGTCCCGATACTTCAGGAATGATCAAAATTAATATTTCTGTTGAAGCTTGTTACTAGAAGGTTTTTGCGATTACAATACTTCGTTTGCTTCGTACAAGAAAATAAAAACAAGTTCACTTTCCCTTTTAAATGGGCATATTCTGGTAAATTTAACAAGCAGCAGTATTAGTTGAAATGACATCATGAATTTTACAGTGTACTAGCATTAAGTTATGTTAAATTTCTTGGCAAGAGTCATAACTTTTATAGCTCTGATCATTTAGCGTAAATGCATAGTTGCCAACACTTCCCGCTTTTTCGATATTCCCAGTAGATCACCAAATCTGTCATTTTGTTTAAATTGTTAGTTTTTATTAGCAGAAGTGTTTATCGGTAATGACTCTTAAATTGTGCTCATTTTAAATTTCATTACTGAATTAATGAAGCTTAAATTGTGCAGATTACAACCCATCACCCCTAGTGATATTCAGCAGACATTTTTGTATTAAATTTTTGATGTGAATTGTCTTATTGCTGACATTTGTAAAACTTAACATCAGATTGAACCAAATACTTAATCATTAAATCATCATTTTATATTAATGTTTAGAGTCATTAGGCTCATTTCAGAACAGGAAACGAAAAATGTCAAATTCAAAAATTTTATTTCCGTCATACTTAAAAAGTACTTTGATAAATTAAATCTTTCCTTTCCTATTCTGAATTTTTACAGTATAAAAGCATAAGAAAATTACAAAATGAAATTAATCCAAGAATTTAAAATTAAGAATATGTAATGAAATATGAACATATTTTACATTAGAAACATATTATGAGTAATTAAATAAAGTGAATGATTGTCTTAAAGCGAGTTTAAATCAATTTTGAGTTCTGTTAAAATGGTGCCACTATGCAGCGCAAAAACTTCAAACTCCCGGTTTCGCTTATTTCAAGCTTGGCAGCTATGATAATTGTACTTAAGCTCAGCTTATGTTATAATGCAGTTTGTGCCATTGTTAACTTCTGTTTATACTTTTGTAATTCTAACGTTATAAGTCTCCATTTGTGATATGCTATAGTGTGAATGTAGCCTAAAGTGGTAAATATCTGTGTTGATATATCTTTACCGGTCACATAAAATGTTAATATTAAAGAATCCAGAAATCCCAAGTTTCTTTTTATTGTATATTTCTAAGTAATTTTAATGTTGCATTATTTTTGTAATAATTGTATTATGTCTAAGAAAAGCACCGGTAAACTTGTGAGCCTAAAAAGTGTAATCGCTGCTAAAATGGGGGGGAGGGGAATTAAATGAGTAGATTTAATATGTTTCTTTTTTTTTAATATTGCAATAAATACAGATTTTTATGAGCTCTCTAGGCAGTATCGAAATTTATTTTTTCTTTGTAAGTATCTAAAATTAAGTATTTCAGAATTCTGTTGGTGAAGTATGTAAATAAATATAATATATAATACAGATAAATTAATAAATAATGAATGTAAATGAAATGTTGGCTTTAAATCGAAACACAATTAACAGTAATGCATTGCTGCCAACTCTCCCAGTGTCATCAGATTTCCAGTTTATTTTTACACATATCCTGGTTTTCAATTTTTCGCATTACTAATGGAAGTGTTTTTCAGCAATAAAACTTGTACAGGATAAGTTTCATTGTAGAATTAATGAAACTTAAAAAAATTTTCTTCTCCCACCCTTTGTGGTCTTCAGCATAATTTTTCTTATTAAATTTTATTTGATCTGAATGGTCTTATTCTACTGTAGACATTTATAGAACTATGTTTAAACTGTAAGTATTTTGTATTTACTTTTGTTTTAATAGATATATGGTGCATTACTAATTTTATCTGTGCAATAATATGTACATTAATTATAACCTTGTGGAAAATGTTCTTTAAAAGCTTTCTTTCCCTTTTCAAAATTTTCTCTGTGTAAAAATGTTAGAAAATTACAATGTAAAATTAGACCAAGAACATAAAATTTAGAATATATAATTAAATATTAATGTCTTTTTTTTTTTTTTAGAATCATATAAGTACAGTAAAAAGTCGTTAATTCGGACACCCATAATCCGGAATGATCTATAATCTGGACCTCAAAGCTAAAAACTTTCTGCACATGCGCCGCGTTGACACATGTGCATAGGTGTTTAAATGTGCGCGTAAGACCTTACGATTGCGCAAGCACAGAATATGTTTTCGCATGCGCGTTTTATGTATAGCGGATGGTATAAGCTAAAATTATCTAATTATCTATTTCAGTTAATGTTGATGATTGCGTTGTACCTTAATCTTCGAATTGGATCCGGCTTATAATTTTTTGCAGACTGTAAGAGCAATTTTATAAAAGTAAACTTGAACTTTCGATTATGTCAAATAGAATTTCCGATGCTGGAGCTCCCAAAGGATCTACAAAACGAAAGTATGTTTCGATGTCAGTCAAACAAAAAGTGGAATTGCTTCAAAAAATGGATAAAGACATGAAGAAGGTGACAGAGAGATTAGTGAAAACGAAAAAATTTCGATTGACAAGTTAATCAGTATTCTCGGCACCGCAATAACGGGACTTGAACAGCGGAACTTTGTAACTGAACAAGAAAGTATGTCTGTTTATAGAATTAAAGAGAAAGTATTATCACATAAAACAAAGCAACTTAAACAACTTACATTAAAAGAAATGTTTAATAAAGTAAACAAAAAAATATTAAGCTTTTTTTTTTTTGTAAATTTTGATACCCTTTAGATCATAATTGTTCTTTATTTCATAAATACGGTTTCATATTTTTAATTTTAGAATTTCTGCATGCCATCTTACCAGATTTAAACTGATGATCTATAATCCGGAATCGCCGAAGTCCTGACGAGTTCGGATTAACGACTTTTGACTGTAGTTGAATAAACTGAATTATATGTTATAAAATGATTTTAAATCAATTTTGAGTTCTTTTAAAATGATGTCCCAATAGAGTGCGATATCATCCCGCTTTTTCATTTTTCCTGGTTGGCAGCTATGATAATGCAATGTAAAGTAGCTCTGTAAGTTCATCAGCGTTGTAAGTTAGAAAATCATGTTATTTCTAATTATTCAAAATCAGTGATGTATTGAAACAAAACTCCTTTTTTTATTATTAAACAATTTTTTTATTGAATGTTTCAAGTTTAATCTGAAGAAATGGTGTGATGCAGAGAAACAGGAAGTTTTGAACATATTTGTAGCTCAGTAGCAGTAGCAGTTATATGGAGCTGATGCTACATCAGTAAGAAAGCTTTGGCATTTAGGAGTAATGGATTAGTGGGATGGTAAGGAACTTGAATTCACTGCGAAAGTGTTTTATAAGTATGGTGATAGTTTAGCTTCATGAGCATCCATGACATAGTGCGAATGTTAAAACATAGTGCATCGTGTTGTGGTGTCATCAGCCCTTATTTTTTTTAAGTGAAGAAGGCCTAGGCAATAACAGTAGCCTAGGCTTGTTATGTTGTTATGCTCGAAACATTCTTTGCAGAGAAGCTGTGTGGTTTCTTACATCTTTAACATGGAAATTATGGGGTTTCAGAAAGTTGAAGCAACATTTTATAGTGCTTAATTGTTGATGGAAACCATTTGCCAATTATTTGAAAGGCACACACTCTACTTCATGTAAAAGTGACATTCTATGGCCTTGGAGATAGGTCTGGTTTGCTCGTTTGTGTTTTTTCTGAAGGAATATGTTAAACTGCTTAAAACTGCATCACATATTTCTTCAACTATTGCTGAGCTAAAACAAATACAGTACAAAGTTCGAAATCCGGACGCCCATTATCCGGAATGATCTAAAATCCGGACCTCAAAACCACCAACAACGTTTTCTTGTAGGTTTTACGCATATGCATTTGATTTCCCCCTCCACGCATAATAAAACATCTGGAGAGTCCCGATTTTTAATTTCACTTCGATACTAAATAAAATACCTTATTACTGAAGAAACAATTATTTTAGCATAAATTTATACGATCAGTAATTTGGCTCTGTTGCTGCGTATGTGCTTGGCATATACATCTCAAAACCAAACATTCCACATAGATGGATCTTTGATCTGACGCCAACCTGGCGAATCATTATTTATTATACTTTCCTTTCATCACTGCATGTGTATCAAAACATGACAACTTCTGTAATGACGGTCGCCAAGCTCATGATGCATAGCCAAATATGTATAGTGAGGAATAGGTAAATTTGATGATGATAGTTGCTAATTTTAAAGGTTTTCGGATATCGCTAAACAAAGGTGAAATTTTTCAATTAACGGATTTTGTAAAGAAAAGCGGAGAAGCGGTAATAAATGAAGATTATATAAAAGAAGTTTTTCATTGTTATGACAATGCTTTTCAATCATCAATCAGTTAATGAATGATGAAATCTGTAGTATGGTTCTAGATCCAGAAAAAACTGCTACCGATAGTTAAGAAAGTGACAGAGAAGTTACTGAAAACGAGAAAGTTTCGATTGACAAGTTAGTCGGAATTCTCGAAATAGCAATGACAGGACTTCAACAATGTAACTGAACAAGAGATTATTTCTGTCTACAGAGTTAAAGAGAAAATATTAGCACAAAAAAACAAAGCAACTTGCATTGAAAGAAATAGTTAAAAGGTAAGCAAATAAGTATTAAGCTTTCTTTGTAAATTTTAATACTCTTTAGATCATAAATACTTCATTATTTCATAAATCACGATTTCATATTTTAAATTTTATAATTTCTACATGCCATCTTGCTAGATTTAAACTTATGATCTATTATCTGGAAAAATCCTGAATCCGAAATCACCCAAGTCCCGATGAGTCCGAATTTCATACTTTGTACTGTAATTAAAATAAATAAATAAATAAACTGCCCTTCCTAGGGATATGACACACCCAGCATTCTAAAGTTACAAGGTTATCAGAGTGTATGTACTGAGGCAGAAAATGTTTTTTGATGTTGCACTTCCTTCACTAAATGTACTTTCTTTTGTATTTAATCATGCATTTTATGTAAATTAAAATTTTACTATTTTCCAAAGCCACCCTTATTTGCTGCAGCAGCTAGTATATTTTTCTACGTCTGTAATGAGTGATCTGTTCAATTTAGCACTGTTAAATTTGCTTATAATTTTAGTCCAATTTAGTGGATAAAGTTCATGCCATATTAATTTTTTAAACTCCTAGACTTGGTAGTTTTTTAAAAATGCAATTTGATGTAGTGTGAAATTAAAATCTTGTTAGAAAGATCAAGATTATTTAGCATTTATAATTTTATTTCAGACAAGAAGTGCTGTTTAGTTTTGACTTAGAAACAGTGCTTTTTGAAATATTAATTTAGTAGCAGGTTTCGTGTGGACATGGATTAATTTTACTCCACACCAATTGCATTTATCATCAATAAGTGCAATTCGTATTTGCAAATGATTTAGAGAAATTTGCAAGTTGATGTGCCATAATCTTAGGTGCTGAATCATGTAATCTCATATTGCATATTGTTTTGAAAGTTGATTATTTATCATTGAATGTGTGTAAAAAATAATTCTTTTTATTATTTTTTCATATGAAGATTCAACTGGAAATGAAATTTTTGTATCTACTTCATTTTTTTATTAAGATTGATCAGCAAAGATTTGATAATGTTGTTACAACTTGAAACAAGTACCAAATGTATATTATTTTGCATATGGAATTCTGTAGACTATCAGGCTGCGCTGCTTTATCTTAATTTTACTACTGTATAATTTGTTTAATGCTTTATTTTTATTTGTTAGTACAGTTTGAAATGATATTGTTACAGACTGTACATATGCATAAGTAGATTATGCAAAATTATATGTAAATTGTAATATCTTTTGTATAATACAAGTATAAAACTAATAAAGAAATAAATTTTCAAAACGCACAGTTCTCATGAAGAAGCAAAATATTGCAATGAATGCACGTCACTTAAAATATAGCACATTAATAAATTAGGTTTTTTTTAAAATTTATAACAACAGGTGCTTGTTTAAAATGTTAAAAAAATCACTTTTCAGGCAATTTGAAAAGTTTAAAATCTGAATTACATTTATAATTACTTTTAAAGCAATTATTTTTCCATCATATGTATGGTTTTTCAAATTATGTAAGTCTAAATGCTTCTCATTTTCTTTTCATGAGAAATACATCACGAAGAAGTTTGACAGTTCATGCTGCGTTGTTTCATCATCATATAACTTTTTGAATGAACGTAATGTCAGTCATTTCTCATATGAATATATTTTATGCTTTAAAGAAAAAGGAAATGAAAATTTTTGCTCTTGTTAAGATATAGTTTACATTTAGATAAATGATTGCATTCGGAAGAAGTTGTTACGTCTGTATAGGTTCATAACTGTATACAGAACTGTTCATTGAATGTACACAGAACCGATGAAAGCTTGATGAAATTTATTTTTTCTAAAACTCTTGACAGTTCTGAAACATTCCAGACAAAAATATTTGTAAAGCTCTTCTCAGTATGACAGAGCGTGTTCAGTAGTTACCATTTCAGTCTACTAAGAATGCTGAATACAAGACAATGTGCAGTGTCTAAAAACCAAAAAGTCATACAGTGATCTCTCAATACTCTGAACTAAACTGAAATTAAGAAATGATAAATACTTTGCCTTTTATTATATATAGTTTTCCCTCACCCACGAGAGAAATTTCCAGTAGCTTCAATTTCTGAAATGGCTGGAAGGCGTACACAGTAACAGTTACGTAGGGTTCAAACTGAAAATGCTGTCAAGTAGTCACAAACTTGATGACTTTTCACCAAATTTGGCAGCAAAAATAAGTCATCAAAAGCATCGCTAACTTGATGCTATCCATTTATCTCACCATTAAATGGACTTAACCTTGTATCTGTATTTTTC